GGTCAAGTCTTCTCTTGAAAGAGCTCACACTCGGTGCCGTCACAACACTTTCTGGTAGATTGTTCCAAGAGTTTACAACCCTCACTCCGAAAAAGTTTGCCCTCACGGTTTTCCGGACTTGCGGCTTCTTCAATCTTGAGCTGTGACCCCTTGTGGGGCGAGCGTCCGCCAGCTCCAAGTAAGGACACTCAACTGAGTAGTGCCCCCTGAGATGCTTATAAACCTCAACTAGGTCCCCCCTTGCCCGTCTGTAGTATAAGCTAGGCAAGTTCAGGCGCTCCAATCTCGCAGGGTAGCTGAGATGCCGAAGTGCAGGCACCAGCTTGGTGGCCCTCCTTTGAACATTTTCAACCAACTGACAGTCCCTAGCATATCTCGGGGACCAGATGGGGTGACAGTACTCCAGATGGGGAAGCACTTCACTCCTGAAGATCGTCACGAGGGACGGACCGTCTAGATATCTGAACGACCTTCTTATAAGACCCAATAATTTATTTGCCTGATTTACCTTCTTCTCACAATGGCCCGAGAACTTCAGCTCATTGTCAACATACACACCTAGGTCCTTCTCACACACAGTCTCAACTAGTACATTTTCTTCATCCCGTTGGGACATATGGTACGCCTCCTTACCGTTGGTACGCCCCAGGTGCATCCTCTTACACTTCGTGACATTGAATCTCAGCAGCCATTCCTTCGACCATTCCTGGAGCCCACAGAGGTCCTTCTGCAGCTCTTCACAGTCCGCTTGGTTCTTAATTTCCCGAAATAACTTGGCGTCATCGGCAAACATTTGTATGGAGGAGTGTACAACGTCAGGCATATCATTTATGAAACAAACAAACAACAGCGGGCCCAATACACTACCCTGCGGTACCCCACTTGTTACAGGTACAGATGACGATTTCGTGCCATTAATCACCACACATTGCTTGCGGTCATGTAGAAAGTCTTCTATCCACGCTAGGACATTTCCCCGAATTCCGTACCCTTCCAGTTTGATTTTCAGCCTTTCGTGGGGTACACTGTCGAAAGCCTTGGCAAAATCTAGGTAAATATTGTCGATATTACCACCCCGTTCTAGAATATGGGTCCAAATATCCAATACCTTGAGCAATTGTGTCAAGCAAGAGCGCCCCGGCATAAAACCGTGTTGGCAATCTTTTACAAGGTTGTTTCGTAGTAGATGTTCCATCGCTGCATCTCTGATAATACTCTCAAGTACTTTACATATTATGCTGGTCAGGCTCACCGGTCTATAGTTGTTCGTGGAGTGCCTATCGCCCTTCTTGAAGATAGGACTCACATAAGCCACTTTCCATTCACTGGGGACCATTTGTTCATCCAGGCATTTACAAAACAGAATCTTCAGGGGCTCTGCAAGCTCGTTGCACAGCTCCCTTAGCACTCTAGGATGCACCATGTCAGGTCCAGGACTCTTATGGACCTTTAGCCTGGACAGTTTATTTCTAATACCCTCTTCTGTGAACACAATGTGGGTCAGTGCTGTGTCGAACCGTCTGTCCTCAAACGCAGGAAGGTTAGTTGCATCCTCTCTTGTGAACACTGAGGAAAAGAAGCTGTTCAATGCCTCAGCTTTATCCTGGTCAGAATCTGCGTAACTACCATCTTCAAGCCTCAGGTCTGATACTCCTACTCGCGTTTTCAATTTCGACTTTGCATAGCGGTAAAACGCCTTTGGGTTTGACTTGACCTCGCGTGCAACCAGCCTTTGGAACTCCTTTTCAGCCCTCCTACACTCTATCTTTGCTTGGTTTCTGGCTCTTGCATACATCCTCCTGTCTTGCTCATCGTTTGACCCAACCCACGTCTTGAATTTCTGGGTTTTCTTCTTAATTTTGTCGACCGCCGCATGGTTCATGTGTAGGGATCCCCTCGTATTCCTAGAAGCACTGGGTTTGGTCTTGGGTATATATTTATCGATCAAATGGGTCATTTTACTAGTTATGATATTCAGCGTAGTGTCTGCGTTCTTGTACCTTAATAAGTCAGGCCAGTTGATACCCCTCATCTCTTCCCTCATCCCATTGTAATTTCCCTTGTAATATTTGCACCTTGGCCTGGCCTTATCTTGAACTAGGTAACAGTTAAATCTGAATGACAACACTGTATGGTGACTGGTGCCAACTGGGGCAAGGTGTTCCAGTTTGGCCACCATACCCTCCTCGTTTGTTATGATGAGGTCAAGTGGCTTCGGTGTTTGTTCCCCTCTGTAATGTGTCGGGTCTCTCACATGTTGGAACAGAAAATTATCTCTCAGAGTTTCTACAAAAAGAGTAGCAGGATTATTCAAGTCATTCGGGGTTGACTCGTTTCTCCAGTCGATGTCGCCATAGTTAAAGTCCCCCATGATAAGGAGGTGGCTGGGGTTGAGCATCGCCGCATTGTTTATTAAGGTTCTTAAGTTCCTTTGATTTAGTGGGCCACAGTTCGGGGATCTGTAGATACACCCGACGATAAGTAAGTCCCCTCCCTTTAATTTAATTTTACACCACTTGGACTCTTCAAAGACATCCTCTCCCTGTACCCTCGCCTGGCTGGCTCTAAGGTCTTGCCTAGCGTAGATAACCACACCCCTCCTGCAGGATTCTTGAGTTAGGTTCGTAAATGAGTCATATCCAGCAATACTGAACTCACATTCCTCTGGGTCGATTCTCCTGTTCTTGTACAACAGTTCTACAACTCCTACAATATCTGGTTGGTGTACTCTTAGTAGTGTTTCAAACTCCTCCCTCTTATCAAGGAACGTGTCGGTATTAGTGTACATGACATTCAAGCCAGAATTTGTTCTCGGTAACGTCTCTGCTCTTAGTAATAAACCCGCTCCACCCACATTCTCAGAAGCTGCAGCATTTGCTAAGTACACTGTATTTTGCAGGGTGTGGTTAAAAATTTCATTGTTTACACGGCGCTCGTTCCCTCCTGTCCGGTAGGCTGAGCTGGTGCCGCCTCCCGGGTGGGGGGTTGAGTGGGTGGAGGGTGCACTGCTGCCCCCTGGCCCTGTGTCGGCACACTTGTTTCCACTACCCTCCCCCTGAGTATAACCCATGTGCACCTGTCCCCGTTCCTCCTCGACTCCTCCCTCTTCTGCTTCAAGTCCAGCAGGAGCTTCTTGTGCTGTTCCCTCTGCATTACCGTGCGGTCTGGGTGAATAAATACATCCCGAAATGCCTCGCTCCTTGCTAAGTTTTTTGCCTGCCGGATAACTTGCCATTTTTCCTCCTCACTCCCTAGTGTGATCCTGAGGGGGCGAGGCTTAGCCCCCTGCTTTTGTCCCAGTCTCCTCACATCCTGAGGGGTTGCTGGAATCTTCAGAACCTCTGTGCAAATATTTTGAAACAGCACCTTGTCGTGTGTTTCCTTACTCACAGTTCCCTCTGCCTGGCTCTCTGGGACTCCAAAAACTATTACATTGTTCCTGCGCTGGAGCCGTTCCTGGTGTTCCTCCTCTCCCCTAACAGTAGGTCCGTTAATTTTCATTTCTTCGACACACTTTTTCAGAGTCCCAATCTGCTGTAGAACCTGTACTGATTCTGCATTACTCTCCGCCCCCCCCACCCGTGGCCCTCCTAATACGTCCGCATAGCTCCTCTTAGCAACCACCTCCATTCTATTAGCTACTTCCTCAGTCTTAGCAAGGATCTCTTTCTCAACTTGCTCCAGTTTGTCAACCAGCAGGGCTCCTGCTTCATCTATTTTCGTCCCTAGAGAACTCGTTCCCTTATGGATTGCAATCGCTTCATTCACCTTGACTATGCAGCCAGGGCAATACCAGCAACAGCCATCAAGCTTTACGGCAGTTAGTAACTTCCTAGACGTTGCATTAGTTAGGCCTGCATCCTCCATATCCGACGTCTCCCTGCAGTAATCACATACCAAACTCATGGTTGTTGTTGTTGTGGGGGGGGTGTAGACTGTGTATAGATCTACACCTATTTCAAAGAAAATAAAGAGAGAAAAAAGTACTTAGCTACTCTCTGTTGCCTATGGAGTTGTCGTCTGCGACTGCGTACACTGTATCTCCCTGTGAATGGTGTATTGTAGGCACAGTTTCAGTCCTTGAGCAAGCACACAATCAACATAAAATAAAATTTAAAGTCTCTGTGGCACCTATGACACGACTTGGTTTCAGCTGGCACGGTGCCTTTCCAGCTTGCTTGCTAGTGAGCGCTCACTTTAAGTTATTTACAACTTCAGCGGTCACTGATGACACTATGAACTATCACTGTGTACACTGTATCTCCCTGTGAGTGGTGTATTATAAACACAGATTCAGTCCTTGAGCAAGCACACAAACAAAATAAAATTTAAAGTCTCTGTGGCACCTATGACACGAATAGGCTGGCAGTTGTCCTTACCAGCTCGATTGCCAATATGTATTCACTTTAAGTTATTATAGTCTCTTCTGCATTCACTGATGACAACTATGAACTGATTTAACTGAAGGCACAGTACTACACTCCCTGGTTGGCCTTTATCACAGCCGTGACCACAACACCCTAAAAAATAAAATAAAATAAAAGCTTTGTCATGTGGCAGTGATTGTGTGGTTATAGGCCTGTGACCCTGGCTGTACCTCCAACTCGGTGGAAATTGAGTTTTCAAAAATACAATCGTGTCTAGCATGAAAAGTCCGACATCGATTTACACTTTCACCTCACTAAGACGATCTTGACGAACTTATGTAATCACTGTCCAATTTCTGCCGCTTTACATCGAAGGCCCGAATGCCGAACACGCTTTGTTACAGAGACGTTAACACTAATTCCCACTCCTCCCCCCATATGCAGGCGTGTTAATCGAGGTTTTACTGTATGTATGTATGTATGTATGTATGTATATATATATATATATATATATATATATATATATATATATATATATATATATATATATATATATATATATATATATATATATATATATATATATATATATATATATATATATATATATATATATATATATATATATATATATATATATATATATATATATATATATATATATATATGTTATAGTAGTTCTGCTATAACGCCGATAATTGTGTTCTGTAAAATATCGCGGTTATAGAAAAATAATAGAAATAACAAGGGCTTATGGAGAAAATAGGTTAGGTGCAGTTTACTCAAATCAAAAAATTTAGTAGTTAGCCTAACACAAAGGATAGCACAGTCTAAATAAATGTTACATTCATATCCAATAATGAAATCATACAGTAAATTTAACACTTTACCTTGAAAAATATGAATGTAACTTGATGGGGGAGAAGGGTGATTTTGAGGTTGATAACATCAAGCTTCTCTTCAAGTGTTATATCCTTTCTTTTACGATAATCACCGGAATTCTATCATCAGAATGCTTTTGAGATATTCTTTCTTACCATATTCACAGTTAATACAAAAATTGGAGAAATATAAAGCAAAAATCGCTAAGTATAGCAAAAAGTTTATCATATATCCAAATATTGTTCAATTCATAAATCACAAGTAGAGCAAATTTGCTATATCAAAACACGCTTATAGCAGAACTCAATGTATATATATATATATATATATATATATATATATATATATATATATATATATATATATATATATATATATATATATATATATATATATATATATATATATATATATATATATATATATATTAATATATATATATATATATATAATATATATATATATATGAAATGGAACAAAATACAAATGAAAGGAATGTGCATTTTCTCCCTCTCGCAGCTCTCCTTCATCTTATGTTGTTTATTAATGTTTACTTTCACTTCTAAAATGACAATTTTACTTATCCTCTACACAAGGTTGGTTTTGGCACTCATAGCAATAACTATTTAGGGTGATTTTGTGAAATTTTGTACAGATTTCAACAACTCTTGCTACAAAAAAATTTGTGCATCCAGAAGATATTTGTCAATTCACAAGCAATATTTAAAAAAAAATTATGAGAGCATTGTAAAAAAAAAAAGTGTAATGAAAAATATTTTTTCTAAAAGGAACACTGCAATAAATTGAAAATACAATATGAAAATTTGCAACAAATAGAGAAATAGTGACTTTCTGTACAGTACACGATTACAGTACTTCATTTAAAGTTATGCCAAACTTAATAAGAGAATAACTAACAAGTTATCAGAGAGGTTCAGCACCAAAAGATTTTTGCTTCTTCTAAACTTTCAGGAATTTCAGTCAAATTGTTGTGCGAGAAATCCAAAGTTGTGAGGTCATCCATTTCAAAAAGATCGTTAGATGCCAGCCTTGCTGAGCTTGTTGTGCCGGACATTTAGAGAACGGAGACATGGCAGGGTTGTTATGGCCCCATAAAGTTTATCTAAATTATTGTTTTTTAGGGACAGATGCTCCTGAAATAAAAATACAAACAATATATTATAAAAAATCCCATAAAATATTGTATCACATAAAAGCATAAATATAATTGACAGATACATTAAGACAATCTGTATAATTCAAAGGATAACACCCATAATAGGTTTTTTATGTAAATTAGCTGCTGTACAGTAATATATGAGAATTATACACAACACAATAATAGCTCAAGACTTATAACAAAGACAGATGCACTAGAATCATCAAGCTCACATTTCTTGTTGGTTAATTTTTACAAAAGCAAATAAAGGAATACAAACATTGAGTACTGTAGATAGTTAATAATGAAGTACAGTACGCAGAGATAATTAGCGGATTTTTATTTCATGATCCTCTATTATTAGAGGATGACACCCTGAATGTACCCAAGGATGTCTTTGGGTAATTATAAAGTTGCCGACATTTTTATGCGGGAACAGGGAGCCATTCACACTAGAGACAGTAATTTCTTTTACCTGTATTGTATATATGTGTGTGTGTGTGTGTGTGTACACACACACAAAAGACATACAATAATAATAATGGGAAAATTTAATAATCAGAAACAAATTTATTATAAATGTGAGTCTACTCCTAGCTTTACCCTGTATTAAGAAAGCATGGAGTTGACTTAAGGATAAACTGTCACATTTTTAATAAATTTGTTTCTGATTATTTGTGAGAGGATTTTCCCATTATTATTTATTTGTTGTGTTTTGTATGTGTCTACGTGCACACATACATATATTCACATATATTCAGTACAGGTAAAAGAAATAATTGTCCTAAGGGCAAACACATAAAGGGAATAATACATTTCTTTGTACACAAGAAAAAATGTAACCCCCTGGTCAGCAAAGGTTATTTGCAGATTTGGCTATTCACGGCCATTTTCAGAACCCAATCCCAGCAAATTTGAAGGCCCTACTGTACTGTACTTATGGTGTATAAACTATAAGTACAGATTGAACACCAATACAGCACTAACCAATTTCTGAAGTTTACCGATCTCCTCTGGCACAGTATCTATCCCGGTATTGTCGGGCCATCGGAGGCTTGACATCTCCTTGATGCTTCGAGGAATACCAGTCTCCTGCAAAAAGACAAGTAACAATGAGGTAAAGAATTTTGCATTTATGAATAGCAGTTATGGATAAAGTAAAGAGATGTAAGTGAAAGACATTCCCTGAACATTTGTTTCTGGAGTAAAGTACAATATATATTGTTACCTGTTAGATGTTCTGGGTAATAAGTTCTATATACAGGAGAGAACACAAACACCTGTATAGTTTTGTAGGTTCGGTTTACTGGATAAGAGTATGTACACAGAGGTGGATAGCACTGCTCCTCAGCTAAGGCGGTCCTGCCTGCACTACCATAGACGACGATGGCAAGTGGTAGTACATTAGCAGCTTCCCATACGTCGCCAGGCAATATTAATTGCTGCGGTGGGATATGGTAATAACATTGCCACACGCCAGTTAGCTAGGGCTGAATAAATATAAATGGAGTACACATATATAATATACATATACATAGTACATAATCCAGCATACATAATATACATACACCTCTTCCCTATACGCCATAGCAGTCTTGAGCGGACTTTTTCTGGATCCGCTCTGAGCGCCGAGGGACTTCACTGGGAAGGGTATGGGACTCCAACACTGTGGCGGGGCCAGCAGAAGGCATTGTTACGGGCGGAGAAACGGCGTGTTCCTCCACCACACGCATCACTGGGTAACCATCGTAGTCCCGTGACTCGCCGTATCCATGACGACGCCTTACTTTGTCCTTAACGAGGGAGGTCGTAATCCTGAACACGACTTAAAAGCCGACACTCAACCTGGGAGAGAACGGGCGTGGTCAAGTAGCGGGCGACGCATGCCCTGAACACGTCATGCTCGGCGATCACAATCTCTCGGTTTTAGCCTGCCACTCCTTGGAGAAGGATTATATAGGACACAAGAACTAAGGGCGCCCATACAAAAACCTGGGCGTGGAGCCCGTGTAGTTGGTGTGTTATGGAGTTCAAGAAGACCGTCGAAGGCTCCGAAGAGTCAATGTTCCCAGAAGGCCACCTGGCGATGAGGTGTTTAGGATTTGACAGCAGCTCAGCGTGGCCGCTGACTGCGGGTACGGGCGATAATGATATGCCGACTTATCGAAGCCGGCGTGTGAACGAGGCAAAGTCCCGGCTTAGAACTGAGGCTCTCCGGCCGTTCGGGGTGAGGGCGACAGGAACGCCCACGCCACGGAAGTAGTGGGCGGAACTGCTGATGGTGGCGGCAGACGTCAGGTCATTACCGCTTCTTGATGACAACCGCCAACCAGAGAGACGGTCGACGATAACCAGGAAGGACTTTTCCTGACACACAGAAAAGTCGGGCCGGCTACAGACTCCAAAGGGGCGGTGGGGTTGTCGCCACCTGCGAAGCGTACCTGCTGCTGGCTAGTCGTGGCTACGGCAGGGCTTACACACTCCGGCAGCATGGAGATGTCGTGGGGCCGATGCCAGGCCGAACACAGTCTGTCGTGGGCATCGCCGCTTGCGGCCTCAGCTCCACGTGTGGCTGTCGTGAAGGCGCAGCCAGGGCGCGGGGACGTGGATAGCAGGGACAACCACCAAGGAGAGGTGTCACTGGCCAGAGGTAGGGGTAGGGCGGCAGCAGGGTAGCTTGCTGCCCCTTCATGCACCCTGTTACGAATTTCACTTTAGAGAATCGGGTAGGTGTTGGGAAGTCCGGAGATGATGGCCAACTCTTGACAATGTCTGTAGGACAGCAAGGAGTCGGGACACCATTATGCACGTCAATCCAGGCCTGACACGCACTCGTTGCCAAAGGTGACATGCATAGAGTGAACCCAGGGTTGGGGCCATCTAGAACCATCTGCCATGACGAGGTCCTCGGAGGCGTCCTAGATCGCTGGAGAGAGCCCCAAGCATCGCAGTCGTTGGGGACCGATGACTGTAGCATCAGCGCCGGTGTGTCGGGCAACACCCATGACGGATGACACACCGTAGGTCACGACACGCTTGATGTACTGGGGACTTTTGGTCCTGGGATGCAGGAGTACACCCTCCCAAAATGGGTCGTATGGTCCAGGGTCGCCGCGGCTCTGATTTGGCGACTGTGGGCGGCCCTCACTGGGTAGAAGGGCTACTAAGCTTCCGGCCGCACGCTGTCCCTTGCTCAGGTAGTAACACTTTGTCATAGGCCCATTTAACGCACACATTGCAACGTACGCATTTTGAGGCTGGGCACCACATCATACCAGTGGCCCATACGGGTCACAACTGTTGCAGGTAGACTGAGCAGCTGACACACCTGTGTTCCGTGGCTGGGCTTACCACAGTTGTTACAAATGAACCGGCGTGGACGCAGGGCGTATATGCAGGGAGCGGACTTCTTGTCCCAGAAATGTGGACACAGCGCCAGACAGCTGTAGGGGGAGCTCGGATGCGAGGTGGCACACCTGGCAGCCTCATAGGAGCTTACATATCGTCAACACATCCTGAAGAGAAGAGGAAGAGTCGAGGAGGTGAGGCTCGACAAGTTCCTCGCCCCACACCCATCAGATCACCTGCTTCAACTGGGTCTCCCCGCACTGCTGGTGGTGGCCTAAACATATATCTACCTCTTCCGAGGTTCTCTCTTAAGACCATATAAAAGGCGCTAAAAGACTCACCCCTCCATCTGTCTGCAGGATAAACAATTCTCCTCCCCATGCAGAGCTTCATTCTGCTGTCCTTTGATGTGCTGCTAGAACGGCCCAGTACCTCCTCTACAGACAGCTAAGAGGTTGGGGGTACCTGCAACGATGTTCTAAGACACGCTGAACTTCCAAGGACAGGCACATACTTAGCTGGATGAGTTGTTTAGGCTGTGACAAACTCTGAGATCCACCATTGGGAAGCATAATCAGCCCACCGCCACGCCATTCGCTAAAAGTCTGGAAATTTACATCAGGCTCCAAGATAGCGGCGTTTGAGCTGTTGCTTTAGGGTGGGGCTGGGGGGCGGAAGGAAGTATGGATGAGGCATTTGAACCATTCAGTACTGAGGCAGTGTTAGAGCCAGGGGCTTGGTTAACAGTGAGCGGGAGATATCAAGGTCAAACCGCACTGTCTTCTCCATTCTCCGCTGGTGGTCTCGTTTGCCTCTGCTTGCCTTCTGTGCTCATCCGCTAAACGCCTGTGAGTCACCTCGCTGCCTCCTCATCTCCTCTCAAGTAAACTTCATTAAGGCAATTATCTCTGGAGATAACGCTGAATGTTGAGGTGAAGGGTCAGCGCGATGTTGTGGGAGCTACTGCCTGGTCATCCATCTCTGGGGACTATCATCCGCTTGACTCATCCAGGCGCTGGGGTCCAGCTGCGAAGGCATGAGACATAAATCACTTTATTCAGGTACTGTGTCTTAAATCAGTAAGGACCGGTCAGCCCGCCGATCAACAAGATTTCAGACAAAAATTTAATTAAATACATGAGATAAGTAGGTTGTATATATAAAATATATATAATGAAGCCAGCGCGGGGTCAGCAAGTGTTAGCAGGCGTGTGTGTGTCCCAGGCGTGCAGAGCGCCCCGCCTCTCAGCTGTGAGGGGGGGGTGGAGGCGGCACAGAGGAGGGGGTGGAGATAGGAGAACAGTCGCTTCTGTAAACGGTCAGAGGAGGGTGCGCTGAGCTCTATAATTCCCCACAAATGCCCAGAACATGCCGTGATACCTTGGAACCGTCAACAAGGTCACACATGAATGGCACGTAAACACACAATGCACTTAACACTTCACAGAAAATCACTGTCACTGATACTGCTCTCAAAGTTGCGAATTCTTTTCGAGGGATGACGCTGGGTTTAATCAAGGGGATCCATCAGCCGCTTTCCACAAACTTAAATTAATCACCGTGAATAATCCAGTAAAACTACGACTGCGCCTATGTTAGATGTTCTGGGTAATAAGTTCTCTATATACAGGAGAGAACACAAACACCTGTATAGTTTTGTAGGTTCGGGTTTACTGGATAAGAGTATGTACACAGAGTGTGATAGCACTGCTCCCTTTAGCTAAGGTCCTGGTCAACTACCATAGACTTATCACGTAGCGGCAAGTGGTACATTAGCAGCTTCCATACGTCAGCCAGGCACATTAATTGCCGCAGGGATATGGTAATAACATTGCCACACGCCATGGGGCCAGGCTGAATAAATATAATGGAGCACATACATAATATACATACATAGTACAATCCAGCATAATATAATATACATACATTACCATTTCCACTATTCGCAATGGTTGCCCCGCTTATTCAAGAAATGTTGCCATAGCAAATTTGAACTGCTGGTCTCAACCGTAGGCTGAGACAGAGTGTGCACGCAGGTACAGATTCTCCGCCATACGCCCCCGCTGCCTCTCTCACATGTGCTGCATGCAGTGATCCGCAGTTGTGTATTGTGTGCTCACAATGCTCTAGTTTAATAATTGCTAATACCAGCATGCTAAGAGATCGCAATGTTGAAAGAATTTGAAAGACATGGAAATGAAAGAAGGAACTTTAGTGATTACGTGGTGCACGGCTTGCTCTCACGGTGCATTCTATATAAAAGCTACGACAAGAATCAGGAAGATGGCCGGGTTCAACACCACTGAGGCAACGGTGCACGAGGTTCCGTGCTGAGATGGAGAGTATGGTTTATGTTGAGCACGGATTGACAAACCAGACCCACGCCTTTAAAACACCTTTAACGCAACATAACTAAGAGATAAACCCAAACTTGATCAAAGCCAGCTGTGGACGGTTTGATAGATTACGAAACGAAAACAACCACAATCTAAAAGGTTATAAGAGCCAACAGTTTAATTATGTAGAAGTCACAGCCAGAACCATGATTAAGGAGGGTGGGTACAGTCCTAAGTAAGTTTTCAACTTGGACGAGACCGGACTCTTCTGGAAGAAAATGCCTTCACGCACCTACATATCTAAGGAGGAAAAGACGGCACCGGGATTCAAAGTTGCCAAGAACCGCCTCACTCTATTGATTGGTGGAAATGCTGAAGGTGACCTGAAGTTAAAGCCTCTCCTTGTGT